GACGTACGACGCCATGGGACTGTCGCGATCCGTGATACTGCCAAACGGAGCCCCATTCCACGGAGTCGTACCGGGGGTCCAAGCCATACCCCTCGGATAGGTCGACCAGCCCGTGACATTCAGGGGTCACAACAACTTCCACACGGAGGTGCTCACCTTCGAAATTATGGATTTTCTAGGCGCATACCACACAATACTAGGACGGTTGTGCTACGCCAAGTTCATGGCTGTCCCTAACTACACTTACCTCAAGCTTAAGATCCCTGAGCCATGGGGGATCATCACCGTCGACGGAGGCGTCCACCAGGCCCAGCTCTACAAGCGTGAGAATTGTGACATCGCGATGGTCTGCGTGCTAGTCCACCGAGCTTGGGAGCACTCGGCAGCGCCAGGAACTGCCGAGGACCACAAGGCGATGTAGGGTCGACCGGATGACACTGCAAAGGCGGCTTGGGTGGCAGCGGCCCCTCCGTGCAATAGGTGCACACGCGCCTCACCGAGCCCAAGAACAAAGGACTCGGGGGTGGTGATCCCCCCAATCGAGTGGTGGTGGTCGATCGGTGGCCACAATCATCGACATCGACCATCTAGCGAGGAAACCTGCCCGAGGACACGACATCTTCGCCAGCCTTTGGAGCGACAAAACGGTTACATCACCGAGGGGACAACTATATATTCGTTGAGGGGCCGGCCGCCCATGCAAGTTGAGCCTAGCGGAACTAAGGAATCATGCGGCTAGACTACAGGAACAAGGGTTCGCCAATTATTGTGCTTGCAAGGTTGTGTGCCCGATTAAATAAAACAGACCCAATTAGAGCGAAAGCAGACGGGAGTCCTTATGGAGATAATAGCGCTCTCTAACTTCCTTGATGAATGCAAAACTCACATAAAGGTACTTAGATTGTGTACATGGTTTTGGATCCAAAAGTGATTTTTTTAAATGCTAAGCACATATGTCACATGCTTGTTTTCAACTTAGCAATGGCACACTCATTTTTATCCTTAAAGAGTTTGTTATAGCTCCGTGCGACATGCATGTGCACACGTGTACGTAAGGATGAAAAGCGGAAAGGAAATATCCCGAACCGAACCGCATCGTTTTCTATATTTGACTGAGCGAATTGTATTTTCGGACAAAATACGGAATACTAAATTCAATTGAAATTGAACACCAAATTGAAATCGGATCGAATTCGGTTTAGGCTTTGTTTGACCGATTTCTACTTTTCTACTTTTAATTGAATATCCCGAATTGAAATTGATTTCAAAATTCGGTTTAAACCAAATTTGGCCCACTACAAGTCCAACCTTAAAAAATTATATCTTTTTCATACGATCTCGGATGAAGATGATTTTTATATGAAAATTGTAGCTCTCAACCAGATCTACACTTTCTAGTTCTTAGTTTTTTCATTTGATGTCTTGAAAATGTTCAAAAAAATTAAACAATGTCAGCGATATATTAATCGCGTACAAGCGCTTGTTGCCTTAAAAAAATCATATCTTCCTTACATCGTGTTGAATGGAGATACTTTTTAAGAAAGTTGTAAGACTTGTTAATTATTATGTACTTGTTAATTATTATGCACTTGGTCCTACGGGTCAATATTCCGTATTGATTTTTCGTATACCGACCGTGTTCGACATAATTCCGCTCGAATTAGTTCGTTTTCGAAATTTTTGATATTCCGTAAGTTCGTGTTCGTTTTCGTGTCCGGCTTTACCGCTTTCGTTTTCGTTTTCGTATTCAAAATGTAGAAGTAGAAAACGGTTGAGAGGTTTTTCGACCGTTTCCGACCGTTTTCATCCCTAGTGCCACGGCGACACGAGGCACCACCCTAAGGGGTGCTCCCGCTCCCTCGTGCGTTGCGCGTGTCATTTGACACGCCTCCCATGGGAACCGCACACGTAACTAATCGAGGCGGGACAAGTACGAGGTCATCCAATCCTGGTCTATTGTTTCTTTTATGCCGGGAGTCTCCTTTCTATGACCGCCCAAACCCAAAAAGATGCAACGCTTTGGGCCGCTGTAGTAGGTATAGCCCAGCCCGTCACGCGTTGCTGAAGAGAAAAAGAAAATTGGATTCACGTGGCTCAATTGTTCACAGACAACTCTTCTGGAGACCTCTATGTTATTCACAAACAACATATTCCACATATCCATGGGCCGAATGGATCTGTACAATTGTGATTGACTAAGCTCAAGATTTCTTTTGCTGCGCATGCAGAGGAAATACTAGACAGTACAGGGCACATGATACTTTCTATAGAAGCAATTCCAAACATGACGACCAAGATATTCTGTTTCCTCTCCTGCAGTGAGGCGAGAAAGGTACAATTTTGAGATTTAATAATCTGATTTCACCGTCATAAAATTGTCAACACTTGCAACATATGTGTGAAACAATATAAAAACGCTTACTGCAACATAAGATTCAAACGGCTGAAACATTTGGAATATATTGTTGCAACATATGTATGAAACATATGCAACATCCAGATCAGAATGTTTGCAACATACATATGGAACAGATGAAATATTTTGAACAAACCTCTGAAACACTTCCAACATGCCTCTGAAATACTTGCAACATATGCAACATGCCCGATCTGCTTTTGCAACATGCATATGAAACAATTGTAACATACCTCTAAAACGTCCGAAACACTTGAAACATGCGCTTGCATCGCAACATCTCCTTGCTGAGGTCGCGCATCGTAGCGGCCACAGTGTCGACAGTGGCCACGACCTTCTGGTGGGGAACGACAGCGTCGGTAGCACCCTGGTAGCACCTCGGGGTGCGCGGGGGACGGGGCACTGTGCGCAGCAGCGGGGGCTAGCAGGAGCGGCGCGGCGGGGGATGGAGCCCAACGCGGCGATGGAGGAGGTGCGGCGCTGGATGGAGCGTGACGCTAGATGGGGGAGCCACGCGGCGCGAGATGAAGTGCGCGGCGGGGAAGACGGCAGCAGCGAGTGATGGGCGAGAGCGATGGAGAGATATTTTAGAGAGAGATGGGGAGACGTAGAAAGTAAGCAGACCTATTGGGCTAGTACGCGCAGGCCCGGAAAACGGCGTCCGGACAGACGAACGCCAACTGTTAAGCATTCGATCGAGACTTCAAAAAGTCTCAGTATTGTGGAGGCGTCGGCGCTATTATTTGCGTCTATCGATCTATCATTGAGATTTTACGGACTTTATTATTGTAACAACAAAAGTTTTCTTCTTTCTTTTTTTTTGGCAAGAAGAGGGCAAAAGTAATATAACAAATAGAATACAAAATTAACTATGAATAATTCAGTTGGTTATGATAAAACATGTTTGTATGGGTTTAAATCCTTCACTTGACATGCATGGACGCTTGTATTTTCTGAAATTTATTTTAAGACTGAATGACGCTTCCGTGGTACTCAGCGTGCACGTTAATAGCGAGTGTCACGTGGTGACCTCGTCAATCTCAAGATCTGCTAGTTTAGTCTCCCAGTGCTTATAAAGAATGTGTGCACATGAGTTCGGATAAGTGAGTGTGCATATGCATGTATGTGAGTGTCTATATTTGTACTATAATTTCTAAGGAAAAAAACAAAACTGTAATAGCATATATGCATATTTGGCATAGCGGTGGTTGCAAAAAGAAAAGAAAAAACTAAAAATACAGTATATATGCAAATTTGGCAGAGTCAATAACTCAATAGCTAGAGTATTCAGTTGACACCTGAACAGCCACCGTGGGCAGCATGCACACCTTCTAGATCGATGGAATGGAAGGCACACGAATCCTGTGCCGTACGACATGACCAAGCAGAAGCTGTGTCTGATCCAGAAGCTAGCTCTTACTAGCACGGACGGACGGACGGACACGAGCGTACGTATGTCCTCTCAGTGCACGTTCCACAACATACAGAAATGTGGGGCGTGGCACGAGGCATTATTGCCGAGCCCGCACACGCCGGCCGGCATCATTGCAATCGCGATCTTGTTGGAGCGAGGGTCGTGAGCACCATTTTAGCTTGGAAATCTCTCACAGGTCACACACGTACATCCCATAGCTAACTACCTACCGAGTTAAGCAAGAGCACTTGCGCGGGTACACCCGGGTGGCCGCCTTGGATCATTGGATGCCACACACTCTTCGTTGCGAGGGGGGGCACTAGATGGATAGATCGCTGAGGGGACAGCCATATATTCGTTGAGGGGCCGGGCCGCTCGGTTCAAGATGAGGCTCGCGGAACTAGAGCAAGGAATCATGTGGCTAGAGGAACGAGACTTCGCCAATTATTGCGCGTCTTTTTCCCCCCGATCAGAGCGAAACAGGCCTCCCAGGACCGGGAGTCCATATGGTGATAGCGACTCTCCAAACTTCCTTTGCTGAATGCAAACTCGCACAAAGAGACTTATTAGATTGTGTAGTACATGGTCTCAACATCGAAAAAAAAAATTGCTTCTTGATTGGTCTATTGTTTCTTGATTGGTGCCGGAGTCTCCTTTCTGGGCCCGACTGCCCGCCCCAGCCCAGAGATGCAACGCTTTGGGCCACCGTAGGTAGCCCAGCCCGTCAAGCGTTGCTGAAGGAAAAACAACATATTCCACGCTATATACGAGCATCCATGAGCCGGATGGATCTGTACAATTGTGATTCACTATAAACTCAAGATCTCCTTTGCTGCGCATGCAGAGGAAAAATACTATACAGTACAGCGCAACATGATCCTTTCTACTAGTGACGAAAGCAAGCAATTTTAAACACGACGCAGTACTACCCATAAATACCGGGCAGCACACCTCACCAATGTGGCAATGCATCAATACCGTCATATACACATCACTCATTACCTGGTAACAGTTGCACTATACAAAACTCCCGTCTTCTGGGAACGCTCTATCCATATTGCTCGTTCAAGATATTCTGTTTCCTCTCCTGCGCAGCGTGCAGAAAGATACAATTTCGAGAGTTAATAATCTGATTTCGCCATCATAAAATAGGATAGAAGAAGCATATGCTCACATTCTCGCACTACGACTCAAGCGGATAATCAAAGATGTTACATAATTTCCAATAAAGATTTTGGACTCTTGAGAATTTCCAATCCTTGTCCAACTACTATGGTCCAGCTAAAAGACCCAAAGGAAAGGAAAAACAATGGACAACATCCATATTTAGCATTTGCTCGGTTAGGTCAACCAAAATGAAAAGGGGTGCTCTTTAAAGTCCAGCTTACCTGAGCTAGACGACGCTCTTTATTCAACTTCAGAGCTCTTCCCTTCTCTTCTTCAGATCTAAACATTTTCTGAACGCAAACAGATTCTTTAGAGAATTATAGTTATGACCACGTCTTGATGCCTATCTTACTGGTGACTTTTTTTTTTCAATCAACTTAGAAATAATACAATATAATATGCCCAATACAGGTGATTAGTGTTCATGGCAGAATAACTTATTTAAAAAAATAGGAAAAGAAAACATCAAATCCAACATTGCTTCGTCTTGACAATAATATGTTTCAGTAGTAATTATCAAACATACTATTCTACACCTAGGGTGCAGCTAGAGCTGCAAGATTACCAAACAGAAAAGTAGAAAAATGAAAACCATTTAATGTCATAAGCAATCATTATTGATGATCATCACTGAAAATTATTTCTGAAGTGTCAGTGATCCCGATCTTTTGGTTCAATAATACTCAAGGTGTGGACTAACACTACCATAACAAACTAATCTCTTTATCAAAAACAAATAAACAAACAAACTAACTAACTAACCTCTAAATAATATTCGACAAATTATATTCAGAAGGGGGCAAGGCCATCCAAGCTATGAAAAGGTTACCTTTTCGGTGGTTGACATGTTTTCAGTACGATCAATTTTGATGTCAAATATCTCATGCAGCAAATTATTGTCCTGCACAGACAAAGAGAAGCTTTAACACTATTATACCAAAATACAATATTTCACAGATAAATCAATATGTGCATGGTTCAGCTTATAGTAACCTGTGAATGCTTCAGGAATCCTCGCCCAAGAAACCGCTTCATATAGTTCAACTAAGCAATGAACAAATCTCAGAAAATTTACAAATTTGAAGCACAGCAGTATATGAAATCAATGCAACAAACCGGCACCTGTATTGATTCACGCCATGATGTAACTCTTAAAATGCCATTCTTGCCTGAAATCCTAAGTGATTCTTCAGGGCACTCACCACTCTGGAGAAAGAGCATTCAGATCGGGACTATTCTGAGATAGAAGAATTCAAGGAGAGAAAATTAAATAAACCTAGACCTTAATAAAATCTGAGATTCGTTGGAACAAGTCTCTCTGATCATTAAGATTTTTTTTGTCAGCACCTCTGCCCCCAGCCTCCATAGAGAGACTATAGACTAGACCAGATATTTTGGCCTTCAATGCTTGCATATTCAAGAAAAGTTGATGTTTAGAACCACTGGTCTCTCTAGCGTCACTGTCGACATCAGCTTCATCACTAGAGGAAACATCAAGCAGTTTTAGCTCAAAACACAGAGCTAATGCTTCACCAGCAGCAATCCGCAAAGCACGATCCTCTGCTTCTAGAAGACTACAGAGAAATGTAATTGGCCTACACGCAGAAAAAGAATATATAGTTTCATGAGCAATTTGATACATAACAGAGAACAGTGATTGAGAAATCATTCACTAACTCTTTCCAAGAATCAGTATTTCTCCTAGATGAACCAACAGTTGTTAAAAGAAATGCCCATGCAGATACAGCAGCTGCTAACAAAGGAGGCTTTGGTTTTCTGGCAATGCCAACCTGTAAACCACACCCAAAATAATTAAGTTTAGAAGAAACTGGATGCCGTACTTTCTGTTTATTACTATAAAAAAAGTCGAGGTTAGTCGGCCTTACATTTGATCCTGATTTTGGATGGATCACATCCCAGATGGCTTTCAGAGATAGCTTGGTTTCAGCAAGATCAGTTGCCCCAACAAATGTGACAACTGCTAAGCAATCAAGTGCCTACAATAATTCAGTTTAACTTCACAAGACCAAAATACAAATAAATTTGCTAGAACCACACAAAAAAACAGAGAAAATTTCAACATACGGAGATCATCTTTGGTGTATCAGGCCAAGTTTGGAGAACTCTCAAAAGTTGTGGATGCGCCTCATCCATTATTTCGTGCGAACTACTTCCAGCACCTAGTGTAATTGCCAGTAAGCCTTGCAGGTACAAAATGAGGGGGCGAAAGGAACAATATGAGCATATCACATATTCTGCTGCAGTGAAAATGACTATATATGGATAAGAATACTAACCAATGCAGCGACAAGCCAGACACATCTCCTTTGTAGATCCCTTTTTAATTGAATTGGTCAACTGGCTCAATAGTGTGACATATCTTTAAAGAGGAAAAGAACCCATCAGTTAAAGTCAGCACAAAAAAGGATCCTATTTCCCGAGCAAACTATGATCCTGTCCTCATGCATGCATATGTAAGCTCACTAAATTTTTCAAAACCAGAGCATAATTGCATTTCTGAGGTTACAACTGACATACCCGTGGGTGCACAGGACATAATATATTCTATCTGTTCACTGGTCTAGTTATATACAATAGTAAGAAGGCATCACTAAAGAATCATATTAACTTACTTGTTTTCCACTAAACCAAGAAGCACAAAACTTTCAAAAGCATCAATAAGAGCGCCCAGTGCTTCCTCTCTCGTGGATCCCCTGCACCAGTCATGTATGTTACAGTAAAAAAACAGTTAGTAATGTTATTTGGTATTCACAATACCAATTGGTATATTCTCATCAACACCAGATGGATATTGCAAAAAGAAAGTCCACAAGCAAATCTTTATGATGATAGCAACACCGAAAGTTCTTTTTATTCTTCTCAAGAAAAAGTGCCTTGCTAAGTGAATGTAGGTTGTGGAGAATTGAAAGAAAAAGCACCAGATAGATGAGATCAAATGAAACTTTTAAGCAACAAATAGAACTTTGGAAAGTTCTCGATTCAACGATTCCTTCCTACTTCTGATGCATTTACTCTAGGGATCATTGATGTAATGGTAAATGGATATTGGTTTATCAATCTTAAGTAAATATGTCAAGGACTAAGTCAGGTTCAACATCTGTGAGCATGTAAGCTAACTGTAGAGATATGCAGTATCAAGTATGTTTGAAAGATGAATAATAAAGAATAGCAGTATGCCTCAATAAACTTTGATTCTGCACTATCAACTTTCAAGGATATACTCCTTATCAAGACAAACAACAGATGGCAGCCAAAAAGTTGAGTAAATGTGACAACTATTTGACAAGTGGAGTAAATGTGGCATGAAGTTGTTGCATTTGCTACAAAGAAAAAATCTAGTTGGCTATTACAAGGGAAAGGAGTTGTAGTATGTTGACCCGTTAAAATATTTTAAGCATAACATATAGCTAAACTAAATAGAAAAGCATGCATATGCATTTCCACCATTTGTGAACCAGCATCAGGGATCGAGTTTAAAGGTAAGGAGAGATGCAACTTCCACTATTCTTGAACAGCATCAAAGATCAAGTTTAATGGGCAAGAAAATATATTAACTTAAAATTTTCATCAAATGTGAGATATTCCTAGATGTACTAGATATGTGGTAACATATCCTGACAACTCATAACACCTATAAAAAAAACAAAAGCCATTTCCATAATTGTGAAAGCATAAAAGGTAAGGTACAGATAGTTGCATGAGGCCCATTTGAGCATGTAGAAATGCAATACTCAGCTGAATCCAAACCTTGCCACACTACTTAATTTCGCACGCAGCAAGATACTCCCTCGGTTGAACTATCTTCTACGTATTTGGGCTAGAAAAGTTTTCAGGAATGATCTACATATAATGGATGAGCGCTCGAGAATCCTTGGGGCTGACGCACGCGTTGGTTCCAATCCTGCATGCAGTGTTGATGTGTTGTCCAGCGTTATTCGATTGGTCCATATGCGTCATACAGCATGCACACCTCTGTTTAATGCTTTGTTAGGCATAAATGCATCATCGGGTGTATCTAAAGCGAAATGGATTACAGAGGGAGTAATGGATCACAGGGAGAATTTAACCTGTTCCCTGGTCTCTGTGAAGCTCTCAAATACGCTGATCAAGACTTTCAACGGATGGAGTAGTAAAAGCTGTTCTCTCCCCGACTCCCCCTAACACGCATTCTTAGGAGTGTCCACTGAAAATTGAAAAACTAGACAATGTAAGGAGTTAGTGTCAGCCTGTCAGGAGAAAATGTATTGTAGAGGCTATCGGTTGTGTTGTCAAATATATATGATGTGGTCAGTTCCAAAATAAGTTATGCATTGTTTGACATTTTGGCAACAACGTGAATAAGTTGATAGCCAAGTAACCATGAACATTAACAATGGTTAAGGCTATGCAATTTGTACCCAAGCAATCAACTACTGGTCCAAACCGAAGGTACACTGACTGATTCACAGACAACCATAGCAACCACCGAGGTGCTAGATAAGGAATAGGACTACCCACCTCTTCTCGTCGAGAGCGTCGATGTACTTGTCAAGAACGAATTCCTGCGAGCTAACATGCTCGGTGGTCTGCGCGGGCTGAATGTCAGACAGCCCAGTGGACATGGAGGTCACGCTATCGGCATCGCTGCCACCGTCAAGCTGGTCATCGGCACCACCACCACCTCGACCGCCCTTGTTCCTCTTACCTAAAACAAATGACACCAAATCACTCACAAATCAGCAGCCAAACAGCAAACAATTAACCGATCAAGAAATGGACGGGGCAATGCGTACTCTTGCCCATGGCGACGTCTTGGCGGTCTAGGAAGCGAAGAGGCCAAGAACCAGCCGGTGATCAGGCGCAGTCGTAGCGGCGCGGTCAGAGGTGGATCTAACAGAGGGACGCGTCGTCGGCAGGGGCGGCGAGGAGGAACCGGGAGGAAGAGCTGGAGCTGGAGAAACGGAGGCGCGCGCCGGCGGTGAGGTCGGGATCGGATTGGCCGTGGAGACGCCGAGCCATGTGAGATTGGGCGACGGTGAGGGGCGGACGAACGGAGCAGGGGAGTGGGGACTTTTCTGGCTTGTTTTTGTTTCCCCCTCGTTTTCCTTTCCTTCGACGAGAGGTGGTGGATGGTGGTGGAGTCGTCCGTCCCGCCACAGGAACAGACACCTGCCACTACAAGCGTGGTCCAGCAGCGTGCAAATCGTGGTTGACGCCGCTCGCCCTCGCTGGAACGGGCTTGCCAAGAAAAACTTACTCAATTTGCTTGCAAGTCCAAATTTCAACCATATAACTAACGATCACAATATCAAAACCTTATCGTTACAGCAGCCTCAAAGTTTATCTATCTATCTAAAGTTACAGCCCCTAAGTCTATATCTATTATTTATTTGTTTATTTATATTTTTTTGAAGAGCAATTTTATTTATATCTATCTATCTATCTATTCTTTTTTTTCTTCTTCGTCTCCTATCTACGGTAAAAGCAAAAGAATTGATAAAAAATACTCCTGATAGACGTGTACCCATCTTAAGTTTTATCTCTTTAGAGAATAGATCTAGCATCTGAAAATTATTCAACTATATGTGGCACGCGGATCTAGGTTAATATGGTTACTACAAGCGTTTCTCTGCAATTCGACCATCTATCTATATTTATACTATAAAATAGCGAAAGAATTGATAAATATTCGTCACCTAAGTGAATCAATCAATTGCAAGATGTCACCCTTTGGATAAAAAAAAGTTAGAAATTTGAGAAGTGGTGTTCAAACAAAATCAAAGCTAGCATCCTTTTGTGACTATATATTCCTTTGTGTCATTCTTTGAACCGTCCGATATTGATGAGGCTTGGAGAGATTTGGATTGGGTAAATGCCATGCATGAAGAACTTAACAACTTCACTAGAAATCAAGTTTGAGAACTAGTGGAGAGACCACAAAGCCACAATATCACTGGAGCTAAGTGAGTACTCCAGAATAAGCAAAATTAGGATGAAATAGTCACTACCACAATCCTAAAGTACCTTGAGTGCTAAAGATTTCTTTGAGGGCCAAAACAAAACCGTCGAGGAAAGTGCAGTTTCCTTGGATGCGGACATAGACCACCAAGGAAATGAATATTCTTTAGTGCTAAACCAAACCGCCAAGGTAATTCCATGATTCCTTAAGTTTGCTTGACGATTTGTGGCCAAGGATCATTTTCTTGGAGGTTTTGGTCACTCAAGGTAATTCGGGATTGTGGTAGTGAGTAGTTAGAAACAAGACAACACTAGTGTCTCAAGGATGCACACTCATGTGGAATGGCAACATTTTTTGGTGAAACTTATGCACCCTAGGCAAGGCTTGAGGCTATAAGTATCTTGTTGACTTGTGATTGCTCTCACAACATCAAGTTATATCAAATGGATGTGAAGAGTGTTTTTCTCAATGGGAAAATCAATGAGCTAGTGTATGTTGAGCAAACCCAGGGATTTGAAGATAGCAAAAGGCCTAACCATGTGTACAAGTTGAGCAAGACTCACTATGGATTGAAACAAGCACATGAGCATGGTACGAGAGGCCAAGGGATTTCTTACTCTGAAAGAGTTTGAAGATGGAAAAGATTGACACTACCCTCTTCACTAAGAGAATTGAAAAAGATTTGTTTGTGTGCCAAATCTATGTGGATGATATTATTTTTGGATCACAAATTAAGAATTTTGTGAAGAGTTTGATGAGATGATGACTAGTGAGTTTGAGATGTACATGATTAGTTTCGCAAAAAAAGAGATGTACATGATTAGAGAGTTGAGCTTCTTTCTTGCTTTACAAATCAAATAAATGAAAAATGGCACTTCAGTTAGTCGAGGGAAGTATTTGAAGGACATGCCCAATAAGTTTCGAATGGAAGATGCAAAGCCATTAAGGACACATATGATCACTAATGGGCATTTTGATTTGGATGAAAGTTGTAGTTCGATTGATCAAAAGCAATATAGGTCTATGATTGGAAGCCTACTCTACTTGACAGCATCAATATCGGACATCATGTTTAGTGATGTGTGCTACAAGGTTCTAAGTGTTACCTAAAGACTGCCACTTGAGTGCCATCAAAAGAATCTTGAGATATTTGAAGCATACTCACAATGTTGGTTTGTGGTTTCTTAGAGATGCACAATTTGAGCTTGTTATATTCGGATTCAGATTATGCAGAGTGCAAGGTTGGTAGCAAGAGCATCTCGGACACATCAATTGCTAGGGACGTCACTTGTGCCATGATCCTCAAACACTAGTAGAGAATAGACTTTCGGTTTTTGGCTTTAATCCCGGCCAGAATTTGGACTAGGAGTAATAGGAGATTTAGTCTCGGTTGGAACCACCAATCAGAACTAGAATCCCCTGCCCAACGAATAGTGCAAGCAGACTTTTGCAGCAGGGACCTTTAGTCCCGATCTGTGGTTTAAACCGGGACTAAAGGTTGCCTCTCAATCCCGGTTGGAACCACCAACTGGGACCAAAGGTCCCGCTGGCCTTTTATCCTGGGTTTTGGCTAACCGGGACTATAGGTTGATCCTTTAGTCCCGGTAGGCTCCATCAACCAGGACTAAAGATCCCAATATATATATACCCGTTTCCACTGTCCCCTTAGTCCGAGATACAGGTCAAATCTTTGGTCTTTGCTTGTTCATCCATGTTCTTGCTTGGGGGAGCAAGTTCTTGCTCTCGGCCGCTGGCTTCATCTTCAATCTTCTAAAGGTTAGCAACTTCATCTTCTAATCTTTCATTGCTAATAATGTAGATCATTTAATGCTTTAGTAATAAGCATAGAAATATTCAAATATGTAGTTTTTTTAGATTAGGAATAATAATGGTGGATTTTATTTTTATTTATACACCATTTCTACATAACCTTAAACATTTATTGTTTTCTAGACCTTTGTTAGCAACATTACTTCTTGATGGAAGTTAATAATCGTTAAAAAAATTATGTGCAAAATGTTTAAGTTTACTTGGTATGCATATATATATATATATTGATGATTTATTTTTTATATGTTTCTCTAATATATATTGTTGCATGATATATTTATATGGGGGTTTTCTATTTATTGGGATGTTTTTTAGTTTTTTAGTTATGATGAATGGCGGTGGACTTCCCTAGCCACAGGAACCAGGTTTCCACCCTAGCGATCTTCCATTCGCGCCATCGCCAGATAGGGCCGTTCTGCGTCACCTAGATCCATCAATAGTGTGGAATATTTTAAGTTTTGCGTGCTAATATAATTTTTGTATATATACATTCATTCATAACATGATTGTTGTATCTGTCACAGACTATAAAACTGGTCAAGTGGCTGGAAGTAGCACTATGGCTGCTCGGGGTGGGGGACATCTTCGAGACGACGACAAGTGAGGTCGTGAATGATTAAGGAAGCGAGTTATGGACGTGCAGTCTTACCTTCGACATCCCCATTAGGTACAATAATGAGGTACACCAGGACATCGTGCAGACTGGACGATAGTCGTAGACCAAGATAGACGCCCAGATCGATGTCATGTTGCTTTCTTTGCAGGCAATTGAGCGAATTGACTACCGTATGTCTGATTTCTTGTCATTGAAGATAGAAGGTTTATGTCAGCATAGTCTGGATGTGCTGCGAGTAAGAGAGATGCATGCGACATTTAACCATATGGATGTGGTACGTCATGTATGATATGAGAGTAATGTTTATTTATTCTTATTATTATATGAGCACTTCCATATATTTTTTGTTTGCCCGCTTGCAGGTTTTGCTCTATGATTTCACCTATGCTACATGTGGCTTGCAGCCCATTCTCACGCAAGCTCTTAAGCGACTGGGGTATGCCTGGAACTTCGTGGAAGCAATAGGCCAGAGGACGACAACTGGCATCCAGTATTGTGTGAGATTTAGGCAGAACCAGGCCATCGATAGTCCATCAGTAGGCTACATCTATGGGATGCCATGTCCTCGGCGTTGTGAGGCAATAGAGAGTGTTGTAGTACGGGCCTTGCATTATATAGACAATGATCGTGGTTACACAATCCAAGACATACGCTACTGGCAGTGGAGACAGGCTAGAGTTGCAGCGGGTTTGTAGGATCCATGTGTTAGTTAGGTTTATTCGTACTGTTACGTTTAATTAGTTTTATTCGAACGGTTATGTTTAATTTGGTTTATTTGTATGGATATTTTAATTATGTTTGTATGGAAGTTAATTATGTTCATTAGGTTTATTTGTATGGATATTATAATTATGTTTGTATGGATTGAAATTTAACTCGTGTAGGATTAAAATGCATATGCAAATAAAAAAATCAGAGAAATAAAACTACAAGGAATTATGTAGGAATAATAAAAACACAATGTCTTTATTATCGTATATGTAATTTTTATGTACCCCAAATATTTATTCTAAGGTTCTCGAAAGATGTTTATTATTGTTTTCGATGTCGCATGTGTCTCATATATGAATTTTTCAAACGACCTTGGATGAAGAAATATCCAAAATAAAATTTATAGATATTAAAAGGTTATACAACTTTGTAGTTGATAACTTTTTCATTTGAAGTCATCTTGTCAAGAAAAACTATATTCGAATTTCTCAAATGTAAAATTTAAATTTTTAAAATGACCTCAAACGAAGAAACAACCAATACAAAAGTTCTATATCTCAAAAAGTTATGTAATTTTATAGTTGACAACTTTTTCATTTGGAATCATCTACTATTTTGAAATTAAATTTTTAAAGAAGTTTGATTTCTCTTTTTAATCTCTGATTAAAACTTGTAACTAGTCTTTCT